CATGCTGTTAATGTCATCGACAATTCTGTTGATGGCAAGTTTTTGAATGAAGAATTTGCTGCTCAGTGGCAGGATGTTTATTCGGAAGCTTTTTGCGACAGGGATGCTTCCCCTTCGATGGATAATGTTTATCATCCTTTGCTGGAATTGTCAAGGTGATCGTAAGAAGGCGACGGGGAATTACTTACGGCACCTAATTGGTGTTCAAAATGTGAGTTTTGTTGGCCTTGTTGAGACCAAAATTGAATCATTCTCTAGAACGGAAATTGATAGGCTTGTTGGAAGAAATTGGGACTTCTATTTTCAGCCTTCGGTTGGGAGGGCTGGCGGCATTCTTGTTTTGTGGAAGAGCACGGTGGGATCCTTCCAGGTTATCTTTCAATCCGCACAGTGTATCATGGGGAGGTTCTGCAATTTGAGTGCCATCACCTGGGAGGTGGCCGTGATCTATGCTGATAAGGACAGATATGTTAGACATAAGGCTTGAGATGATATTTCTCAGCACCACTCGGTAAGCTCTCCTTTAGTGGTTGGTGGCAACTTTAACTATATCTTATCGCAGGTGGACAAGAAGGGTGGTCGGCCGTTTACTTACACGGCGGCCGCTTGTGAGATGGGTGATTTTATGGCTACCAATGGCTTGATTGATCCTGGATTTTCTAGTCCTGCCTTCACCTGGACGAATAACAAGGATGCAAGAAGATGGATTTCCTCCCGGTTGGACAGGTTTTTGATCAGCTCTTCCATCCTGGATGTGTTTCAGGAATTGCGGGTCCAACATCTGATGAGGCTTGCCTCGGATCACTGTCCGATCCTTTGCTCCACTCTTGAGCAGCAGCGGAGGGCTTTGTCCCACTGGATTAGATTCGAGGATGTTTGGGCTGGTTTTCCCAAAGCTTGGAATTTGGTGGCGGATAAATGGATAGTTAATGATACTGGGTCCGAAGCCTCTAAGCTGCACAAGAAGTGCCAAAGGACCTTGAAAGCTCTCTTCTTTTGGAGCAAGAAAAAACTCAGGATGCTAAACCAATTAAAAGATGAACTAGATAAAGAGATTAAGGATTTACACGAGCTTCAGTGCTCTCCGGCTGGACTCTATGATGTCCAATATGATGCCTTGAGGTATAAGGTCCAGATGATGAATTCTACCCTTGCCCGATTAACGATGTGGTGGAGACTGGGTGCGAACGTGAAGTGGATTGAAGAAGGGGATGGTATTACGCACTTCTTCCATTCGATGGCCTCAGCTAGGCGGAGATCCAACTCGATTAATAAGCTAAAGGACCGGGATGGGCACACTGTCACTGATCAAGCAGATGTCATGAGGGTGATCCATCATTTTTTTGAGCAAAACTGGAGCTGGCTGCAAGTAACGGAATCTGGCTGGCCTTGTCTTGACCCGCATGCTGCAATCTTAGGCCATGTTGCTGATATGCTTGACAGGGAGGTTACTGAGGAGGAAGTTTGGGATGTTGTCCGAGAGCTGGGACCGAACTGTGCACCGGGGAGAGACGGGGTGACGGTATCTTTTTTTTAAATTTTACTGGAGTATTATTGGGGAGCAAGTCACGTCGGCGTGCTTGTAATTTTTTGCGATGGGGTGTATGGACCCAGGATTGAAGGAGACCGTGGTTGTTCTTTTGCCGAAGACCGACCACCCAGACCGGCCGTCCAACTTTCGGCCTATCAGCCTATGCCAGAGCATTTATAAAATTGTTGGCAAGGTTCTTGTGAACCGTATGAAAGGTTTACTTCCAAGCCTTATCTCGGAGGAACAAGTTGTGTTCGTCCCTGGGCGGTCGATCTTCGAGTATTGTTTGGTTGGACAGAAGATCATGAATAAGTTTAAGATCTCGAAGTCTACCATGGGCTGGTTGGCTTTAAAAGTGGACATGGAGCAGGCCTACGACAAGATGAGCTGGCGGACTCTTGAAATTGTGCTGACAAAGATGGGTTTCCCCATGAGGTTTTGTTCGTGGGTGCTCGATTGTATCAGTAATCCACGGTTTTTTGTTTTAGTTAATGGACAGCTTTCGGATGCAATTACGGCCGCTTGCGGGTTTTGGCAGTGATGCCCGCTCTCCCCTTACCTGTTTATTCTTTGCTCGGAGCTTCTACCACTGCATTTTTACCAAAGATTTTGGGACCTAGAAGTGCAAATCGGGGCTGGGCGACCTTTGGTCTCCCATCTCCTCTATGCTAACGATATTTTGATTTTTGCAGGTGCTACTATTCCCAATGTTAGGAAGTGTTTGTCGATCTTGGAGGACTATTATTCATTAACGGGGTAGAAGATCAACAAAAACAAATTGGCGATCCTATTTAGCCGTTCCACATCTTCCTCGACCAAGCATCGCCTGGCTAGACTCGCCGGCTGTCAGAAGGTTGAGGAGATGGACTATCTGGGGATTAGGTTCGCGCTCAGGAGGCCGAAGATGGCGGACTTTAGCCATCTCCTTCAGAAAATTCGTGCACTTTCTCTTGCTTGGGGTGTTAGGCATTTATCGTTGGCAGGCCGGATCAATATGGTAAATTCTATTTTGCTTCCATTAACGGTGTACGTTGTCTCCCATACGCTGGTTCCTAGAGGTGTTCTTATGGAGGTAGAGAAGATATGTCGGAGTTTCCTGTGAGATAAGGATGTCAACCATAGGATCTTACACTATGCCTCGTGGGAGAATCTTACCCAGCCGAGGCAGCTCGGGGGTCTCGGCTTTCATGCTAGTAATTGTTGGACTGGTCCGCTGCGTGCTAGGATCATCTGGAATTATCTAAATAAGCCTCAAACGCTTCTCCATAGGTGTCTGAGGAATAAGTATGGGAATTGTCCTTGGCTGCAGGATTGTCGGCGTGGAGACTCTGTTGGCTGGCGGATTATCTGTAGTGGGGCGGACAGCCTGACCAACTGTGTCCGCTGGCGGGTCTGTTACGGCGTGGGTGTGGACGTGGTCAATCATGTGTGGATTTTTGATAGGGCCATTGCTCTCTGGACTACTTTCTACAATATTGAAGTCATTGATGGCCTTATGGTCAATGATTTTCTCACAGTTGGGAGGTGGAATCGGGCCAGACTAATGCAATGCTTTGGGGTCTTTATGGCCGACATTATATGTGATATCAATATCTGGTCTGATCTTAATGCTGATTTTCTGGATCTCATCACTAGCCCGCTCGGCTCCTCCATCTCGTCCATCTGCGACAAATTTTCATTCTGGGGCGGGGAGGACCTAGTTTGTTCTATCCTAAAGCTTGGTTTAAGACCCCGTGAGCGTATTTTTTGGTGGCGAGCTTACAAAGACTTAATCTCAACCACCTCCTGGCTTCATCGGCGTGCACTTTATGTAGATGTTATTTGCCCGGTCGATTGTCATCTCCGGGAGGACCTGGATCACGTCACCACTCAGTGCCGGCAACTCCGGGATATTTTGAATTGTCTTGATGGCTGGGGCTTCTCCACACCAAGGTTTGCTTCTTTCTCTGAGCTCCAGGCCGCATTGAAGGATAGCTCCAAAGCCGGTGCCCACTGGGGACTTTTATATTGCGGTGCTGTTTTTCACAGTTGGAGTAACAGGAATGCTTTTAAACATGGCAAGGCAAAGAGCTCTATTTAAGTTTTTGCCACCAACATTATGGAATCCATCTCTGCCACTTTTTTTTCAAAATGTATGGAGCAACGGTTCACCCTTCAATCCCCAGGATTGGTCTCGTCTTCGTCGTGGTGTCCCCCCCCCCCTTAGGGTTGGCTGAAAATTAATATGGATGGGGCCTTGCGTAGGTCCAATGCTGGTGGAATCGGTATTGTTATTCGGGATTACAAGGGCTCCCTGGTTGTGGCGGCCAGCTGGAGTATCACTCATTGGGATAGTACGGGGGTTGAGCTATTGGCCATTCAATATATCGGGAAACTCCTCCTAGAGTGGATGTTTGAGGTGAATGGGGACATCATTGAGGGGGACAATACAAGCGTGATGCAGTATATGCAGAAGGTCAAGAATCGGGCTCTTTGGAGGCTTCAATCCGAGGATGCAGATGTGTTTGATTGGTTGAATTCCTTTAATTAGGTGCTTTTTGTTCATGCCTTTCGGGAGTTCAATCGGGCTGCTCATTTTTGTGCTCAAACAGCGATTAGGGGTAGTTTTGAGTGGGATATAGGGGACAAGGCTAATATATGTATTCCTTAAGAATTTTAGTCTATTCTTGCGGATGATAGTGGTTTTTTGTCCCTCCCTAGGGAATCTTTGTTTCCTTTTTGGTGGTTGACTTGATCTAATAGGTCTTTAATGAATGCAAACACAAAATTTCAACTCTCTCTCTCTCTATCTCTCTCTCTCTCATCATGCTCTTCCTCTCTATTGCTATCCTTCCATCTCTCTCTCTCTCTCTATTGCTCTCTTTCCATCTCTCTCTCTCCCTCTCTTTTTCTCTCCCCTCTCTCTCTCTCACTCTCTCCTCTCTTGCTCTCCCTCTCTCTCTCGATCTCTATCTATCTATCTCTCTCTCTCTCTCACACACACACAAACTCACTCTCTCACTCTCTCTCTCTCTCGCTCTCTCTCTCCCTCTCTTGCACTCTCTCTCTCTATTGCTCTCTCCCTTGCTCCATCTCTCTCTATCTCTCTCTCTCTTGCTTTCCCTCTCGCTTTCTCTATCTCTCTCTCCCTCGCTCTCTCTTGCTTTCTCTTCCTCTCTCTCTCTTGCTCTTCCTCTATCTCTCTCATTCACTCTTTCTCTCTCTCGCTCTCGCTCTTGCTTTTCCTCTCTATCACTCTCTCTCTCTTGCTCTCCCTCCATCTCTCTCATTCTCTCTTTCTCTCTCACTCTTTACTCTCTCTCTATCTCTCTCTTACTCTCTGTCTCTCTCTCTCTGCTCTCTATTTTTCTTTAACTCTCTCTCTCTGCTCTCTATTTTTCTTTCTCTCTCTATCTCTTTCTCTCTCTTGCTACCTCTCTCTCTCTACCTCTCTCTTGCTCTTTCTCTTGCTCCCTCTCTCTCTCTCTCTCTCTCTCTCTCTCTCTCTCTCTCTCTCTCTCTCTCTCTCTCTCTCTCTCTTGCCCTCTCTCTCTCTCTCACTTTCTCTTTTTATTACTCTCTCTCTTGCTCCATCTCTCTCTCTCTCACCCTCTCTCTTGATCTCTCTTTCTCTCTCTCTCTCTTCCTAGCTCTCTCTCTTGCTAGCTCTCTCTCTCTTGCTTGCTCTCACTATCTCTCTCTCTCTCTCTCTCTCTCTCTTTCTAGTTCTCTCTCTCTTGCTAGCTCGCTAACTCTCTTGCTTGCTCTCTCTCTCTATCTCTTGCTAGCTCTCTCTCACTCTCTCTCTCTTGCTCTTGCTCTCTCTCTACTTCTCTCTCTTGCTCTTGATCTCTCCATCTCTCTCTCTCTCTCTATCTTAATCTCCAAATCTCTCTCTTGCTCTCCCTCTCTCTTGCTCTATCTCTCTCACTCTCTTTCTCTCTCTCTCTCTCACTTTCTCTCTCTCTTTCTCTATCTCTCTCTGTCTCGTGCTCTCTCTCCCCCCTCTTGCTCTCTCTCTCTCTCTCTTCGTCTCTCTCTCTCTCTCTCTCTCTCTTGTTCTCTCTATCCCTGTTTCTTACTCTCTCGCTATCCCTCTCTCTCTCTCTTTCTCTTGCTTGCTCTCTCTCTCTCTATCTCTCTATCTCTCCCTCTCTCTCTCTTTCTCTTTCTTGCATTCTCTCTCTCTCTCTACCTCTCTCTCTTGCTCTCCCTCCATCTCTCTCTCTCTCACTCTCTCTTACTTTCCCTCTCTCTTTCTCTATCTCTGTCCCTCTCTCTCTTGCTTCTCTCTCTCTCTCTCTCTCTCTCTCTCTCTCTCTCTCTCTCTCTCTCTCTCTTTCTCGCTCTAGCTCTTGCTTTTCCTCTCTCTCTCTCTCTCACTCTCCCTCCATCTCTCTCATTTTCTCTTTCTCTCTCACTCTCTACTCTCTCTCTCTCTCTCTCTTTTTATCTCTCTTACTCTCTATCTCTCTCTTTCTCTCCACTCTCTTTTTCTTGATATCTCACTCATACTCTCTTTATCTCTATCTCTCTCTCTAGCTAGCTCTCTCTTTCTACCTCTCTCTCTTGCTCTTTCTTTCTCCCTCTTTCTCTATCTTGCTCACTCTCTTTCTCTCTTGCCCTCTCTCTATTGCTCTCTTTCTCTTGCTCCTCTCTATCTCTCTTGCTCGTCCTCTCTCTCTCTCCCTCTCTCTAGCTCTCCCTCCATCTCTCTCTCTCTTTCTATCTCTCTCCATCTCTCTCTCTCTCTCTATCTTAATCTCCATATGTCCCTGTCTCTCTCTTGCTCTCCCTCTCTCTCTCTTCTCTCTCTCTCTCTCTCACTTCCTTTCTCTTTCTCTCTCTATCTTTCAATCTCTCTCTCTAGATCTTGCTCTTTAACTCTCTCTCTCTCTCTCTCTCACTCTTCCACTCTCTCTCTCTTTCTCTTGCTCTTCCTCTTTCACTCTCTCTTGCTTTACCTCCATCTCTCTCTCTCTATCCTCTCTCTCTCTTGCTATCTCTCTCTTACTAACTTTCTCTCT